GGTGGTATACACGCTGCTTTGCGCGCAACGTCTGCCGCACTTTAAGGCTGCCAAATTATTGCTTCCAAATAAAGTCGCTAGTAACAGGGGAGATCCCAAAAAGTAAACAAAAGTAAAAGCCTAATATCTTGAAAACCAGGGAATATTTTTCGGTGAAATTTGGTAGATATTCGTTTTCGCTCTTTCTGAACCAAGGGACATCACTTTCATGCCAATTCATTAACTTTTTTGAAGGTGGGAGGGTCCCTTTAAGTAGAACACTCTGGAACATGTCGTATTATACATCGTTCGAATCGCCGATCTCTTCTGACCATGTCCACCAAAGGGCATCGCGCCATTTTGCGCCATTTTGCTTCTACGGTGGATAACGTGAGCCAGTTCAGTCCGCGAGCGGCTGTGGCTCCTGTTCGATACGACTACTGTTAACGCCAGACCCCTTGAGACCCTAATTTTTCGCGATTACTTTTAAATGCGTGAAGGAATTTCAACCAAGCTCAGGACATGGCCGTTTCAAGACAGGCCGAAACTTTTACAATTTAGATATTTTATCGCCATTTCAATATTTCAGGCACTTGTCATTGACTCGTAATGTTAAATTTCGAGCAAGATTTTCATCCGGTGTGTAGAGGCTATCACCAGTCAGTCTGTGATACGTTATGACGTCACAGCTAAGCCCCGCCTCTGTGGTCTTGGCCTGCGGCGGTTTCGGGCCGGCGCGCGGTCACTCGCTGTGGCGGGGAGCGGGGACGGGCGACGGTCGAGCGGTGCCGAAAGCCGGCGGAGTTGTGCGTAGCGTCTTGGCTGACAGTGCCCAGAGAGCGACATGATGACTAAGGAGTCATAAATGCTCAATGCGCATTGCTTCTACAATGCTGATATGTTCGCTGATATTTTTTTATATATATAAGCTGCATATGACGGGCAGATGGCATATAACTGACATAAGGTTAGGCAATATTCACCTGTATTTAAAGCCTATGGTGTTGCAGATAATGCGATAATGGGATGTCGGATGTCACCAAGTAGCTGCCGATTTGTACATCGCTATGCAACCATCGAACAACGCAATAATAAGTTAATTGCCTGAGCTTCACATCATACGGCTCGCTCGTATTTCAAACAGATACCCTACATCGAAAATCGTATTTGTTAGGAATCGTTAACGTTTGTTCGAAGCACGACTGAGTAGTAGGTTGAGGAGTGATGGTCCTCTTGGTCCTATATACAAGAGTCAACAAGAGCCTAACATTTACTTGACCGTCTGCTGCAATTGACTCATAGCACGTGAAGCGTCAGCGAAATTCATAGTCCTTCACAGATGGCAGGGGTGTCGTTTGTACAGAGGTCGCTGATGGGCACGGGTCAATGCCGCAGTCGTGGGCGGAGCCTAATGTCATATGACGTAGAAAGCCTCTATCCAGGATGGAAAAACAGTTAACATTACGAGTCAATGACAAGTGCCTGAAATATTGAAATGGCGATAAAATATCTAAATTGTAAAAGTTTCGGCCTGTCTTGAAACGGCCATGTCCTGAGCTTGGTTGAAATTCCTTCACACATTTAAAAGTAATCGCGAAAAATTAGGGTCTCAAGGGGTCTGGCGTTAACAGTAAGCTCATTGACCTGGCTCGAAGCTGGTGTCACCTGGTGTGCGCCTAAATGTGGCTTGACTTTTGCCATAAGATGTGCTAATTGAAATGTCATGTAGGCATAACGCTGTGCCCAAGAAAAACTGTCCGATTTCTTGTCGCGTTTGATGTCCAAGCCGCACAAGTCCCGTGGTCGGCTTAAGATCTAACGTCAAAAGCGCCTATGTGTTTGTATTGTTCGCGTCGCGCTGACCTTAGTTGCTGCCCGGCCGGGGCCGACTAGCGGTTGCTGGCAACAGCTGTAGATGCGGTCACGTGACGCCCTGGGGCGTCCTGGCGGTCAGTGCAGCGCGGTCGGCTGGCGGGCTCGCCACACTTGCGCACATTGCCCCAAAAGACGGTAAATAACTTTTGAAAATACCCATCTCCAATTTTAGTGTTTTCTGGACCAAAATTTTGCAAGGAATCCGATGGTGTGGTCCCCGAGATCTGAAAAATTTCCATTTTGGAGATAGCACCTATTTTTTTTTGAAAAATAAATATTCGTCAGGCATAATAGTCAAATAAATTGAAAATATAATGACTTAATTTTTGTAACAACACTAGATTGTGTCGAACATGAATTAGAGATATATTTTAGCTAAGATGATACTATATCTGCGCATACATGTACATGAACTAGTACATTAACCCTCGTCGGCCGAGAAGGGGTTGGGCGGGTGCCGCCTCATAGGGCTTTTCGCAATAGCTTAAAACTCGCTTAGGGTAGACAGCTGAAACTTGGTATACCTAATCTTTTATTCAAACTGGATCTTTTGACCTCAACTGCGTTTTCAGGTCAGGTCAGGTCACTGACCTATGACGCAGTGTGGCCAAATTGGCAATGTTGTGGGGAAATCCTCCCCTAATGAAAAGGATAATGACATCCTAAAAAATTGGGAAAAAGACATCCTCACGACTTTTTCACTTAAATATATCATACTGTTCTGCAAGCATCAATGTGTTTGGCAACTTCTTGCTAGGTCATAAAATATCTCTGTCTCAATGAGCGCCAATTTGAATATAGGCATATAATATGTTAAGCAATATTCATATTCTTATGTTCTGGCAATATTGATATAAAATATAGGTCGAGGTATGTATGCAGCAACTGCAAGACGTATGGAAGAAGACAAATGCAAGACCGAGACAGCATGGCATTAGCAGTTGAAATCAGCATGCTGATGCTGCATGGGTGATGTGATTGTGACAAAATAAAAACTGCATTATATTCCAGTGTCTTGACTTTTGGAGCTGAGTTTGTACCTACCAAACAACATGCACAGGTTTGGTAAGGAAATCACAAATTGAATCATGTACAAACAACTAGGCTATTTCAATTTCAATTTCAATCGATGCTCACCCAGCGCAGATACAGCATATAGCCTTGGACCAGACTCGGATTAATATACAATAGTTATCAATTGATCGCAAAGAATAAAAGCAAAACTAAGCTCAAACACAACCACTGAAAATCAGGATAAGCACAAACCCCTCGGACACAACACCAATGCATCCACGGCGTCCACAACACAAGCAGTCGTTCGAGATTCAAGGCCATCAAAGACACAATAATCCCCTGTTGACTCTTCATACATCATGCACCACCGCCCTGGCGTGCTTTGTTCAGCCTGTGACGTCACCGGTGGCCAAAAAGGAAGTCGTTATCGGGAAGTCAAAATCCCGAAGGAAGTCGTTATTTTCCCCCTAACAACCCCTAACTTATAATGACGACAGCACCGCTAATCGACCAGACCAAGACGAGAAAATGAGATAATACGAAAGAAAATGAAATAATACATTGCATACGCGGTCATTTTCTTGGAAAATTTGCGAAATGCTTGTTTTTGAGCCCAGTAAACTTCCGTCATTTTCATGCGAAAATCCGCTGATTTTGCGGAAAAAATGGCTTCTGAAGAAATGAAATTGTTAATTCCCAGGCTCATTTTACGAGCTAAATGTTATACAAAGTGAAAGAAAATTGATGAATTATGCCTACCTATGCATCAAAACTGATATTAAGCCCACAATACTCTATTTTGACATGTTCAAATATAATGACATCCTTTGCCTGTTTTGGCGAAATTCTACCCCTAACAACCCCTAACTTCAACTCTTCGCCAAACTGTGAAAAACCATTTTTGTGATTTGATATTCACATATATCATGCTCCATTGATTTCCCTACAATATTATCATCATTTTACCGGCTGTATTGTCTTAATTTTCACGTTTGGCTGGCTTTCGTGAGCCGCTGTTTTAGGGATGTCGGAAGTTTTTCTGCCGAAAATCTCTGAAATCGTGTGACGTAATACGGAGGCCGCGAAGTTCGACAGGTGCGTCGAGATTGATTATCTTGTGCAATATTTTGTAGACGAGGAAAACCGAAACATTTGCTCCATACAAACGATTCGAGAAATTAAATTGAATAGACAAGCAGTGTTGTGTTGTGGCCTTGTTGCTTTATTTCAGTATTTGATAGAGGCGTAATAGAACTGATAGCAATACTTGCAAGCTATTAGTCAATAAGGTACAGGGACCTAAGACCTTGATCCTGGAAAGATCTCAATTTGAATTAAAGTTGGGATGATGTTGGTCTATGCATGCACGTTTGTTATTTGTAGGTGGAGAGCGTAGACTGAGATTGCTTTGGAGAAGCATGGAACAGGAACACAGCCTCAGGTAAGAACGTTTCTCGGCATTTCGAGTCTTTAGCTCTTGCCATCATCAGGAATCTGCAACCGAACCTGGATGTTGAGCTCATTCACAAATATATAAGGCATCAGAGGTAATAGGTTTTGAGTTGGGACAGCCAGGTTGAAAGTTTTAGGTTGGTAGGTAGCTAGGTAAGGTTAGATCAGGTTAGGCTATGTTCAAAATATTCACTGGACTTCATATTCACATTTACTAAAGATTTCTTATATTGAGGGGTGATCTGTTAATATTGGACATTTGATGAAATGTTAATGTGAAGGCAGATGTGATGGGTATGCAGATTTCATTACATCAATCATTGCTTTAGTGTGTGAAAAATCTTTATGAAGAAAAGGCATTCTGGCATTTGCAAACACCATTTGATTTTGAATTATGATGATGTATTGAACTGCTTCATTCTGAAGCCTGATCTGATTCAGATGGGAAGTACCTAATCATTTCAGGGATTTGGAGCTGCGTGTAAATTTAAAGCGATCTACATTTCTAATTCAACATAACTAGGCACTAATGCATTGCAAAACACTACTTATAATTGCAGTGGTACCTAGGTGAGGGGTGTTTTAATTTATGAGGAAAATACTGAGCAATATACATTATGAAATCTTTTCAACTTCACAACAACTGCATAGTACATTATGGCGACATCTACCAGGGGGGGTCCGTCCCTTTACCGGGCCATAGGAGGAAAATTGCTACCAAATGCTGCCAATGTGACGTCACTGGGATGGTCGAAAGCTGATTGGTCGCTGAGATTCAGGCGTTGCTGTCAATTCTGGCGCACCGGCGCAGTGTTTTCCAGCCGTTGCGTGTATTGTTATACGGAGTTTGAATATTGTTTATTTGATAATAATATCACTTTTTATGCGTTTGAAGATCGGAAAAGCATGCACATAAGTGGCATTCACACACTTGTCGTCTCAGAGATCATGAAGAATGACCAGCTTCAGCAGTTCAGCTCAGGTATTCAATTAATTCAACTGTATAAGCATGAGTATCATAAGCAGATCAGCCCCGTTTCAGTTCAACCCGGTTTAACCTTTTTTTGTCATTTTTGGCTTTCAAAGGGAGCATGATAAACTCATATTAAGTTGTAAAATGCCTTAGCATTTTAATGAGAAGGAGAATGGAGATGGAATAGTTGTAAATTGTTTCGGAAGTGGCTAGCTTCTATAAATATTAATGCTTTGTGAAAATAACAACTTATTTGTCAAATTAAATAGTATCAAATAACAAATCAATCTATGCTTACCTCCCAGACTGGAAAAAAATTCACACTGTCAGATGCGTCAGGGCCCAGTATTGTCAGATGCGTCAGGGCCCCTTTCGGGTCTCAAAATTCAGCGCAAGTGATTTCTCACCAAAATTTTGGCACATCTTTTGTGCAAAGTTGAAGCTCATTGTTACTTCTTTTCAATATTAGTTGTTGCCAGATTTTATAATCTGTATCTAAACTTTCAAATTTTGGATGCACATTTTTAATTTAAAAGGATTTCCGACATGCTTATTGCTGAAAATCCCATTCTTGTTTATGTAAATGTTATGTAATTGACATTTGCTAACTAAACAAGCTCATCCTTGTCTAATGTCTATATATTGGTTTCTATTTATACCACCTGTGCTACTACTAATTTCTATTTGTTGAGACTATTTACCTAATGCATTTGCTTCATATGATTTTATACGCAGACGCACCTGTGCATGGAACAGTAATGCCAGACCCAAATTCAAAGTATTAATGAAAAATTGTGTTATTTGCTTGTTTCACCTGAATTCTGAGTCAGGCCTGCAGGCTGCAATCAATACATAAATATGAAATAGGTACATGTTTTGAGGCTTCATATCAGCACATAGAAAAGGCAATCGAAGAAAAGGCACCTTTGGGCATTGATTATTTTTGCTTGCCATCGCCTAGTCAATTTTTTCATGTTGCATTATGTTAATAAACTTGGTAATGTGTTTTGCAGGTCCGGGGCTGGTCCTCTGGCGTGCAGGACGGCGAGGAGTGGCTACCTGCACATAACAACACAATGACTGGCACCGAGCTGAGGGTATAAAATCACATCATATCGACTTCAGCATCTGTCTCCCAGCTTTGGAGACGTCGCCCGACTCCCGAGTCCCTGAGTGGCGAGCGCCAGTTTCCGAAAGGAAGTTGAGGAAGGCAACCCGAAAGCACCCGCTAGGCTGCCGACACTCCTGCGCTGCCAGCAGGGCGTGCTGCGCAGTAAAGCCTCGCTGCGTGGTCTGTACGACATCTGACACCGGCACCCAGACGTGCAGTTTCTGATGACATCCCACCTCAACCAGGGCTGCCCCGAGAATCTGCTAGTGCTGACTGCCTGCTGCTGAGGCCGACCTGCCGGACCTGTCGCCGCCCTGGCGAGCCTGAGCCGCCCTGGGACCTGCCGCCGCGTCTACGCTGCCGCCCTGGTGAAACTGCCGTCGCCCTGCCGGACCTGTCGCCGCCCTGGTGAGCCTGCGACCGCCCTGGGCCCCTGGACCTGCTGCCACCCCGGCGGACCTGCCGCCGCGTCTACGCTTCCGCCATGGTGAAACTGCCGTCGCCCTGCCGGACCTGTCGCCGCCCTGGTGAGCCTGCGACCGCACTGGGCCCCTGGACCTGCTGCCACCCCGGCGGACCTGCCGCCGCGTCTACGCTTCCGCCCTGGTGAAACTGCCGTCGCCCTGCCGGACCTGTCGCCGCCCTGGTAAACCTGCTGCCGACCTGTCGCACTTGCCACCGCCCTGGTGAATCTGCTGCCGACCTGCCTGACCTGTCGCTGCCGTGGTGAACCTGTTACCGACTTGCCGGACCTTTCTCGCCGCCTTGACGAGCTTGGGGAGCCTGTGCTGAGGTGCCACCGCTCTGTTTCACGTGTTATGTTGCCCGATTCCTGGCTGTCGCGGAGTCAATCGGCACATTGTGTTTGGAGAGGCGACATCTTGTACAACTTTCCGACAGTTCGGAGCATTTTATTGTACCTACTCAAGTCACAAGAGATTAGGCTTGTGCCTTATTTGTCCTCTACCAATCTGTCCAATATGGTTTTTTATAACTACGATTTATGGTATGACATAAACCGGTATATTGTGTACGCATTTGGTTCGTTCCAGTCAGAAGTTTGGAATGTGTACATATACTTGTGTTACCTACGGTACAATTTCGGTTTGTGCAGTTCACACAACCTCTCTTAATTATGGGGCGAAATAGACGCAAAACCAGGGCTGCGGAGTCGGAGTCAGGGTCGACAGTTCTGACCGGACTCGGAGTCGATTTTGGAAACCGAGTCGGAGTCTGGGTCAGCGAAAATCCATCGGCTCCGCCAGGGCTGCGGAGTCGATGGATTTTCGGCGACTCCGACTCCGACTCCGACTCCGACTCCGGCTTTAAAAAAACAGTTCCGACTCCGACTCCGGGCAGAATTGTCGACTCCGACCGACTCCAACTCCCGACTCCGACTCCGCAGACCTAGCAGGGCTACGGAGTCGACATATTTTCGGTGACTCCGACTCCGGCTCGGGTTTCTAAAATCGACTCCGACTCCGACTCCGCAGCCCTGGCCGCTCCGCAGATCTGGCAGGGCTGCGGAGTCGGAGTTAGAGTCGGTAGGAGTTGATTACCCAGCCCGGAGTCGGAGTCGGAGTTGGTTTTTGGAAGTCGCGGTTGGAGTCAGAGTCACCAGAAATCCATTGACTCCGAAGCCTCGCGCAAAACTATGGCGATTTTCATCTACGAGAGGGCCGCCGATGTGCTGGCCGGATCACCGGCGGGGCGTACGTTGGCTCGGTCCGATCCCAATAATGTCGCCAAATCTTTGGTTCGAGTAACAGCTGGTCCTGATTTGCTTCACTGAGGAAACATCACACCGTTCTGCCTTGCATCGGACATCAAAACTGCACTAAAATCCGCTGAAAACGTATTTAAACGTCCGTCCTCCATAATGGCTACGGACGGCGGCCGGCGAGTTACCATCCCAGTGACGTCACTCGGGCCCGGTAGGGGGACGGTAAAAAAAAGCCTGATGACCATACCTGGTTATATGGCCTTGACATCTACCGGGTCATTCAGAATAAAGGCACACATTTGTTTTCTTCATAGAAGTGCAACAGCAAAAATACTGCATGCGCACGTGCTTATTTTTTACTTATCAATAAATGCTATTTTGTTTTGACTGGTCAGTGAAAAGTGTTGAAGATGCTGCCATTCACACCAGACCAAAGAACACAACTCGTCAAATTCTACCTGGAAACAAAATCAGTCGTTCTCACCCAGCGCAAATGGAAGAAGTGTTTCCAGGCAAGAAAAGCACCCTCTCGGAAGGCCATCCTGAGCCTGACCGAGAAGTTCTTGGCAACTGGGAGCCTAGAAAACAACAAAAAGGGAGATGCGGGGCCAAGCGCACCAAACGGACCCCAGCAACCGCCCAAAAGGCACGACAAATTTTGACATCAGCCCCCAAAACGTCACTAAAGCAGCTCAGCCAACAGCTGCGTTGTAGCTACAGCACCGCACAACGAATTGCGCGCACTGACTTGAAGTTGCGTCCGTACAAGAATAAGATAAGTATCCATCAGAAACTTCGTGACTGTGATGAAAAAAGTCGCAAACGCTACAGTGCTTGGTTTAGCAGGAAATGCCACACTTCAAGTCGGTTCATCGAGAACATCTGGTTCTCAGATGAAGCGCACTTCCATTTGGACGGGCGTGTTAACAGCCAAAATTACCGCTACTGGGGCACTGAAGCACCAAGTGAGGTAGCAGAGAGGCCGTTGCACCATGGGTGGAGAATGTTTGAAAAAGTTACCCCGGCCGGAGACGATAGTCATGGGAAAGACGACATGCTCAAATAGTAGGTAATTGTTAACGGTTATCAACAAACCGCTTTTCTGTTGAATGAAATAATGAATGTTGTGTTTGCTCAAGGATGAACATTTTATCCTGACTCAGCTCATTTAAGGTCAGGCCAAAAGGTCACATCAAGTGACCTCTCTCAAGTTTCACGATAGTGTTGGGGGCCGGGGCCGGGGGCCTTTTTCGATGCTACCCATTTCGTCTGACTTACATTACCCTAGACCTGTTTCTTTTGTGCCTTATTGTAAGGTGATCTTAGATAACGACACTTGAATATCGTTTTATTTTGCATGCTGCTCAAACTTGTCAGGCTCAGCGATGAAAATATTTGCCCAGAAGTCCCAAAAACAAAATATATATGTAGATCTTCAAAAACTTTAATAGGTAGATAAGTGTAAAGAGAGTCAAGAGACACTTTTTTAGGTAGCACTCAGCTTAATTTCTCGTTTGGAGACAACTTTTAGGATTTACAAGGGTGAAAAAGTTACCCCGGCCGCGCCGGGGTTGGCTGAAAGTTACCCCGGCCACGGCCGGGGTGGCCGGGGCAGGTTCTCCACCCATGCGTTGCACAGTAAGAAATGCACAGCGTGGTGCGCGATCAGTGCGCAGGGCATTTCCGGCCCCATTTGGGTGGAAGATAGCGATGGTAACGCCGCAACAGTCAACGCGGCGCGGTACCGCAAGATCCTGCAAAGATTTTGGAATGGTCTGCGCACTCGCTATCGCCACGCACCGGACCGGCTGAATGTACAGTGGTTCCAGCAAGATGGTGCGCTACCACACCGTGCAACAGAGACCAAGGCCTGGCTCCAGGACCATTTCCAGGACCGCCTGATTGCAAAGGGGGTCGGCATCGAGTGGCCCCCTCACTCTCCGGATTTAACGCCACCGGATTTTTTTCTTTGGGGTCATCTGAAGTCGGAAGTTTACAAAAATGGACCCAAGACCATCGTCGAACTCAAGAAAGCCGTGGAACAAGCGGTGAGACGAATCCCTGTCGCAACATGCCGCGCCGTAATGGAAAGCGCTCGTAAAAGAGCTGAGCTGTGCCTTCGCGAAAACGGTGGTCACCTGGAACAAGTACTATAGGTGGTCAGCTGTAGTTCTCTGACGTCAGCCGCTGATGTCCAGCAAAATAGCATTGATTTGCGAATGTTTTGGTGCCTGTTTTACCAGTATGCGATAAAAAATACAGGCTTGAGACAAAAAACAAATGTGTTCCCTTATTCTGAATGACCCTGTATTGAGTAGGTTGTGGTGTTTACAGAGCCACCTACTGGCAGACGTCCAAAACGAAACAACCAAGACGCACCGTGCACTATGCGTTCAGACTCATAATCGAACTGATTGGTGAATTGGCCCCAGTCAGTCATACCACCATTCGTGACTCGTGTGACTGATTTGTGAACCTACCATAGACTCCTTACCTGCAAAGCATGACAATCTCGATGAGATGTCGGCGTGAATGCACTCAGCTAGACGCTGGTGTGTTGTACAGCACAGCTGATCCGCTGTCGTGTGGTACGATTTTTTTTTTTGTGTCCAACCAACATGGTATCGTGAACTTCGGTGTGAGACTGAGCACATACCCTGTTGTGCTAGGAAAAGGAAATGATAGGGTGAACTATGAGACCCACAACAGGTTGAGCAGGGAATAAATCGCCGTGTTTTTTTTTTTCCTTCAAACTCCATATCTGTTCTCCCGTAAATTTCCGACAGGTTGAAAAAAGCTTGAGAAAATACAGTGACTCGGTTTTCTGAAGTTTGTCTGTCTCAGCAGATCAAGCAATGTCAGAACAAGCTCACATGCTTGATACTTGATCAGGATCGAATAATTGATTGGACTTTTTAAATTGGATTTTTCGTGCTTCCGGGCAATTCACGGGAAGAAGATCAGGGTTTGGAAAAAACGCGTCGAAATGACCGGCTATGGTGTTTTCCCCTAAAAAAGTGTGATAGGCTGGTAAATATTTTATGACCTATTCAGTAATAGCTCTAGGTCTTGCTAGATGTAGGTGTGTTTTTCCAGCTCTGTTAGCTCTGTTAGAGTCCGTCGGGCTGGTGCGGACTCATCACCTTAGTTGTTGCAGCTCGTCGACATATGTTGTCTCGTCTGGATATGGATTTGCGATCTGGCCAGCGATATAACGGTGACAAAATGTGCTCATCTCATCCGTTCGACCAACTCTTCTAGTTCAGTGTTACCCAGCCCAAAAAAGATCGGCGATATGGACGTTTTGGTACCTTATTGCATTTTATTTTCCCCTCAGTTGCCGTTACTACACACAGTAATGAGTAAATTCATCGCACACATTGAACCCAAGATCACAGTTGCGGTTGGATTCTGGGATATGCACTAGGACATTAATGTCGAGGATGACATCGGGAGTTGTACCGGCCACTGGCCATATCGGTCAACATTTTATATTAGTGATAACTTTTCTTAGTTCTCATAATCGATGCAATTCTGATCTTATACTGATGCAATGTTGATACAATAACTGATTCAGAAATGGTCGTATAGTCGATTAATTCGATTGATTCGAGAGTAACCTATTAAACACAGCACTATGCATTTACATTTTATAAAACGTGAATAGGTATGCAGTATGCGCAGCTGTATCTTCGGGGAGCAGACGTCGGTGTCCGAGGTCATCTGGCAGTAGGGATCTTGATGGATTCGTAGGTTCACGATGATGACAGGAGTGCTTGGAAATTGGAAGGCTCGCGATCTTCTTTCAGGAATGGATGAGGAATATGCCTGGAATAGAGTGAGGAGAATCAGCATCGGGAAGGTGGTGGTTGGCACATGACCAGTGGCCGTTGAAGTTGTTCCTATTAAACGATTGTCTTAAAAAGGATTGCTATTTCTACATATGTATCACTGAAGTGCTTTCTTCAAGGATACATCAGTACTGAATGTTAGTAAGGCCATTTCCCACCTTTTCTATGAAAATTGGAACTTAAAAAATTCAGTAGACCATTTTTTCAAAAAAAAAATAGTTACATCCTCTGGCGGCTTTTTTTCTACATCCTCCCCCAAACGCAAAATGGATTTGGCCACACTGCTATGACGTCATAAATAAACCTCTGCGAGGTCCTCAGATGTTGCAACTTTGCAACGCCCTCAGTGCCAGAGGAACTTTCACAGGAAGATGAAAGTTACAGGACGTAGTATCTTCGCATCATCTATTTACCCCGCATCAGCACGGGTTTAGAACCGGGTTCTCCACGGAGACCGCCCTGCTGACGATGACGGACCGTGTGTTCGAGGCGATGGACCGGCGGCAGGTAGCGCTACTGTGCCTATTAGACCTATCGAAGTGCTTCGATGTCATCCCCCACGACAGGCTGCTGATCAAGCTAGAGCAGTATGGTGTCGACACGAGATGGTTCGCGAGCTACCTATCTGATCATTACCAGCTAGTGCTGATCCGCTCGCAGAACGGTCGCAGTGTGCTCTCGCGATCAATTCTGAATCCTATTGGTACCTATCAGGGATCGGCCCTCGGGCCCCTTCTTTTCAACATATATGCGACTGACATGTCTCTGTACCTTCCCGACTGCGCCAATCATGACAGGTGTCTGGTACAGTATGCGGACGACACACAGTTGGCGGTGATGGGAAGCCCTCGTGATGCAGCAGCGATAGTTCAGAGTCTAGAACAGGATTTAGCGGCTCTTTCAGTCTGGTTCCAGAAAAACGGTTTAAAAGTGAACGCTAACAAAACGCAACTAATAACATTGGGTACCAAGCAAAATCTCCGTCAGTTACCGCCAATAGAAGTTGAATTTATGGGTGCTAAGGTTACGGGATCCCTCACTGTTCGAAACTTGGGGGTCACGTTTGATCAGAGTCTGTCTTTCTCAGATCACGTGACCGATGTCGTACGGCGTGGCACTGGTATCCTGAGCGGTTTAAGCCACAGTAGACACTCGCTGCCCAGGGACACACTGACAATACTGGTGCAGGCTCTGGCGGTGTCTATTGTCCGGTATTGTATCAGTGTCTATGGCTGCTGCGGTGTGACCCAGCTGTCCAGAGTTCAGAAGCTACTGAACTTCGGTGCTCGGGTGGTGTCTGGCCGACGTAGGTATGACCATGTCAGCGATGTCATGAAGACCCTGAAGTGGCTCTCTGCTGAGAACTTGTGGCGGTTTCATTCGGTGACTCTGCTCAAGAGAATGCTAGCTACGGGACATCCTGAGTCGCTGCGTGAAGGCATTGTTACCCGCCGCAGTGTTCATGGTAGGGAGACCCGCCAAGCTGACTTTTTCGAGACCCCAGCGATCCGCACAGAGTCAGGCCGCCGACGGTTTCTTTATTCAGCCGTGACAACATACAACTCACTGCCACCAGTCGTGCGAGGCCTGGGGCCGCGGCAGTTCAAAGCCCAGTACCGAGCACTGCTACTCCGAGAGCAGTATGGCGATGAGGACCCGTGAGTGTGTTTTGTATGCGTGTGCTAAGAGCGAATGTTTTATCCACATCTTCCAAATGACATGACGCCCGGAATAGCCGTTCTCGAATGGATGGGTTTGTCGCGACGTGAAATAAATAAATAATAGTATCCTTCTGAGGTCTCACAACTTGTTTATCTCGGATTTAACCTAAATGTCACATTAGGTCAGGTCGGTCACGTGACCTCACCATTATAAGTCAATGGGGGAAATATTGAAACTGTTATTTTGGCGCCGGAAATGATCTAAAACTATCCCAAGCATATGAAATCGTGGTTTCATGATCGGACCTTACAAAGAGTGCATGAAACCACGATTTCATGTGCTTGGGACAGTTTTTAGACAATTTCCGGCGCCAAAATAACAGTTTTCATATTTCCCTCCATTGACTTATTATGGTGAGGTCACGTGACCGAACTGACCTCATGTGACATTTGGGAAAAATCTGAGATATACAATTTGTGAGACCTCTAAAGGATACTACGTCCTGTAATGCCTGAAACAGACTCTTTCCGCAGTCAGGAAATCGCATGCGAGAGCCTATTCAAATACATGGAAGAACGATCGCATCAATCGCACGCACCTCCCGCATGCGATTGATGCGGGAAGAATTATAATGTATTTGAATAGGCTCTCGCATGCGATTTCCTGAACGCGGAAAGAGTCTGTTTCAGCCTTAAGTTTCATCTTCCTGTGAAAGTTCCTCTGGCACTGAGGGCGTTGCAAAGTTGCAACTTCTGAGGACCGTGCAGAGGTTCATTTATGACGTCATAGGTCAGTGACCTGACCTGACCTGAAAACGTAGTTGGTGTCAAAAGATCCAGCTTGAATAAAATATTAGGTATGCCAAGTTTCAGCTGTTTTCCCTTAGCGTGTTTTGAGCTATCGCGAAAAAAAAACCTATGAGGCGGCATCCGCCCCACCCCTTCTCGGCCGGCGAGGGTTAATATACTAGTTTATGTACATGTATGCGCAGATATAGTATCATCTCAGCTAAAATATATCACTAATTCATGTTCGATACATTCTAGTTTTAATATAAATATTCACTCATTATATTTTCAATTTATTTGACTTTTGTGCATGACGAATATTTACTTTTCAAAAAAAAGGTGCTATCTCCAAAATGGAAATTTTTCAGATTTCGGGAACCACACCATCGGGTTCCTTGCAAAATTTTGGTTCAGAAAACACTAAAATTGGAGATGGGTATTTTCAAAAGTTATTTACCGTCTGTTGGAGCAATGTGTGCGGTCTGAGCGGCCTGGGCCGGCGGGCGAGCCGTGCGAACGTGCGCCAAATCTTGGGCCGAGCGGCTTGTCGCTGTTGGGCCGAATCTCCTTGGGCAGTTCGTTTCTTTTCTTCTCTTTGCATTGGCAGGGAATACGTCCTTGATCACTTGGTGATGTCTTGCACCACTTTCAGGTAATGTGGGAATTAATGCGTGCTAATTCTGAAAAAGGGCCACTGTGCAATGGCGTAATCGACTTGGGTGACTCGGCAGCTGTGAGGTGGCTTTTGTTGTATGTACTGACACTGACTCCTCCATCTCTCCACAGTCGGCCTTGGAGATGTTTGACTCAATGTCTGTTGACTCTTGACTCCCTCACCCTTCCCCAGAGTCGGTATCTGATGTTTGACTCTGTGATCTATTTTATGACTCTGACTGCTCCCTCTGTTCCCACAGTCAGTCTCGGACATGTTTGACTCGATGTGTGTGCTGACTCTGACTCCCCCTCGCTCCCCCAGAGTCTGCGTCGGACATGTTTGACTCGATGATGTCGGCTGGCCGGGAGGAGCCGGACGCAGACTCGGACGCAGCCTCTGTCCGCTCTCATGGCAGCGCGGCCGCCAGCAAAGGTCAGTGACGGGTGGCGGCTACTGCGGGGAGGGGCGAAAGGTGTTCTGTGTGCTGAACAATGCAGTAGTCATAGTACCTTTTTTAATTGCCGTATGTGCCATAGATCAGACATTTTTCAGACGCTCACCTTTGCTAAATATTATTCCTTTTGGAAATCGATTTCACTGTGGCACACCTGCACGGTTTTATTTAGATTTAACTTATTTTGGAGTTTTCATCAGTTACATGGAGCAGGTCACGTTTTGGTAATCGTGACGTTTCCGAGAGCAATTCTCTATCGGCCGTCCATCTTTCGGTCATCCAATCTGGCGTCCGTGATAATCGCGGCCGGACTGATATGTCTGACCGTGTGGCGGTCCAGTCGAGACTGATGTGTCGGGCCGGACGGCAGCTGGACTGTAATATCTGACCGTGCGCCGCCCATCCCGAACTGATGTGTCCGACCCGGCGGCCCTTGCCCGGCCTGCCCGGCCCGTCTGTCACGTCGACCTGCCGTCAGGCGACCGTTATATCGCGGCCGGCTTCATTCTGCCGCCACCGACGTGCCTCTGTCGCTGATTAGACTGTTATTCGACTGAATTATCACCGCTGCCAGCCGGCCGGGCCGTGAACGCGGCCGCTCGGTCACACCAGCGAGCCATCCCCGACACTAATTAATGGATGTGTCTGGCCGGCGCTGTGGGCGATCGGAGCCGAGCGGCTGACCGGTGAGCCACCGCAGCCTGCCGGTGAACTGAGCACAGTATGTTGATTTTATTCATAGCCTCGTAGGGCTGAGAGTTGTGATTGTATTCATTCGAGGTGGAGCTGCGAGGAGAATGAATACCGTAGCGGCGGAGGTCTGTCATAAGGCCGAGCACATCAGGACAGTGTGCTGAATGAGTGCGCCGTTAGTGGTGCAATATGCGCCACTCTCCGCTACTGGGCGCACGGCCATTCGTCGGGGCCAAATGGTCCAGTGCCGGCTGTGTGGGAGTGGGGGCGACATGCTCTCAGTGGGGCGCGACGGGTGGCCGTCGGACGTGCGGGCACCGCACGTCCGTCAGAACAGGGGGGCCAGCTGGGGGTCGGAGGGTGGCTAATAACGCAGCGCATTATTCGAGATTTGGATCTGTTTTGTTAAATTCCTCTCGGATGATATGTCGGATTCGTGGGGATGGCTGGCATTCCAAACATGTAAAAGATTATGTAGTTGAACTTGAGACAAACAACAAAATGAGAAAATATAAAAATGAAATCTCATTTTTTATTTGCACCAACCTTCCGGAGCTGGGTTAACCCTACCTGAAGCTAGACTGGTGTTCGTTGAGCGCTAGCTTAGACGTGCCGTGCTTGGCGTCGGTAACCCAACTGCGTGCAGCGGCGACGCGGGTACATCAGCTCGTTTCTGCGTGCTGAATCGCCCCATCCAGTGCGGGCGCGTAACGATGCCGTAGTGCCGGACCTCACCATTTCCACCCGGAAACCACCCTCGACCACCGCTCTGAGCGAGAACGCACTGCCGAGGAGGCTGGTCAGACGGCGCTGCGTGTGGCCCGGCGCCGTTGGGCCTCGGACCCAGCCAGTGTCGTCGGTGTCAGTCGCAGCGGGGGGAGGGGCCGGGGGTGGGGTGTCACCTGCCGCTGACAGTCGCAGGGGGAGGATAATGGAGCGATCAGAGGCCGCCCTCTGGCTCCGATGCTCTCAAAAATCAGCCAGAGTCGCCAAAAATCCCGGCGGGAGTAGGTTCCTGGAGCTGGCTTGTGACAGTGGTGTGTCTTTTGTTCTGTCAGTCATTAGGTTTTTTGTGTATGCTAGTCATTTGTTGATGTGTTTTGGCATATTAGCTGTGTAGCTGTATATCATTTTTATTACGTTCTTCCATCTTTTTTCGCGCATTGTCAGCGACACTATATCGCTAACAGCTATACAGATGTATCACATTTGCTTTCCGTCTAGCATGACGTGAACATAGGGACAATGTATTGTAAGGAAATGGGAAAAATATTGCTCCGTTTTTTTTTTTGCGTTAAGTACTGGGTATTTTTTATATTGTCACCGTTGATATACGTGCATAATGTTAGGTGTGATTTTCTTGTACATAGATGTGAACTGAGAGCCCGTTTTAGAAGCCGCAACTGAACAACACTACCATTGACGGTCGAACCATTTTGGTCGGTGTCCGTACTCACGATTTGTGTCCGGACGTCGCCTCGGTGGTGGGTCCGCCTGTTGTGTTCAGAGGAAACCAGATGATGTGTGACTGCCACCGGCAGGCGCCGTGGACCCGTGCACCCAGTGCGGGCACAAATACGTGTTAGAGGAACAGGACGTGGTGGTCTCAGCAGTTATGCTGTATTGTGCTCGCGCTGAACGGCTTGTTTTGCACCGGACGCCGTTAGCGGCTAAAGCAGAGGACGGTCTCGTGGACCTGTTCTTATTTCTGGCATTGCTACGTTATTGCTGTCAGGAAACAGTCCGATTCTACCTTCCAGATTTAATTAAGTTAGCGTCGGAAGCTGTAACAATTCATTTAATTAAATCGAGGCTTTTCAGCACGTCCTTTATGCGTGTCCCTGATGGCGTTTTTACAGATACTACCGATCTATTTAAAGATTAATTAACGCGTCTCATCGTACACCGTGGTTGATAATTCCACAAATAGACTCAATTATGTCATACTCAATACCCGTAGGCCCATAAAAGTAATTCAATGTCGATGGGTAGCACATGGCAATGAAAAACATTGGTGACAAGCGCCGCCTTTTGGCTTCTTTCGGAAATTGTCGAATGTCGATTTTTATGTTTCTAAGCTAGAGCTACATACGTCATAGATTTTACATGGATAAAGACTAAATCCTTGCGGCCCCACAGCTGCCTTCATAATTTTACACAGAATCGTCCCGCTGGATTCAAAAGCAGAATTCATCGGCGAGTGAGCTGTTTTGGTAAGCGAAAACGTCCTAAATAGTAAATTTATGCAGTTAAACTTTCTTCAGTTCGTCAAGACAACCACTAACCAGTGTTTTAAAGATATGTGCAATTTCGCCCCCATCGAATGCGTGGACCTCGTAATGCATTTGACACTCGTCAGTCGTCTCCATTAGTGCATTTGGGTCCATTTTCATTTGGAAAAATGAACCAAATCTCATGCAAACATGGCAACTCCAGAGGGGATGCTGGTCAGTGGTCAATCGATTCCCGCGTCCGTTCACCTGTCCGTGGATAGCGGGGGGTGGAGGGGGGGGGGCTGACGGCAGCAGCACGGCGCCGCCGGCCTGGAACAAGTAGTCGCGTCGTCAGCTCGCGAACAAGTGGTTGGTCGCCGGCGGCGGGTGCGTGGCGCCTGGCGGACGGCCGCGCCCACTGTCACTGGCCGGTTAGTGGACGCAATGGATGGCGCCGGGGACAGGACTGAAGGGAGAGGAGAGGAGGAGAGAGAGGGTGGGAGATGAAGGCCGTGGGTGCCGCGCCGGAGGATGGTTATTGCTGAGCGCGTTGCCGATGAGGGAAGATGATGGAACCACTCCCGTGTGGCAGAGCGTGCATGGCCGGATAGTGGCCATGGGAGAACGCACGAGATGAATGGATCCGCCGGGTATTGTGTCCTGTATTAGGTATTGTGTGTTGTGCCGTGACCTTTGTTTTTATCGCGCGTAGGGGTTTCATCTGCGTTGTATAACCGTGGATTTTGTTCTTATTGCAGCTAAGCCGAAACCGGCTGCCGCGGCGAAAAAGCCGGCTGCCGCAGCTAAGAAGCCGGCGGCGGCCGCCAAGAAACCGACCGTGAAGAGGGCTCCGAAGAAGAAGACGACATACGACTCCGACTCTGATGGAGACTTCGCCTCCTCGAAACCCAAGGTGAGCCCCAGTGTGCTATAAAATGTGTGGAGGTCGTATTTGCGCAGTTTCTGCCCGGCTGAGCTTCAAGAACGCCGTACCAGCCAAGGTTAAGAAACATTGTCCAATGCCATTCCCCACTGTCATTCCCAATTTATCACTGAGCTCCTAATCTAGCACGGCTCTGTGTAGGAACGTGTTGATCCCACGCTGCCTCCCGGGCCACCCGCCCCGCTCACCCCGTCTGTGAGAGGAGATTGCCTTGGGTCAGAAGCTGTCTCGGGCCGCTGTGTGGAGCAGGGCGGTCGTTTACGCCGTGTGCGGGCTGACTGGTCGCGTCTGTTTCACGGTTTCGGCAGTCGGCGCGGCGGCGCTGTTTGCCGTTTGGCGGAGGTTTTTGTGGCTCTCAGTCTCCCTCCCCTCACCCCAGATCCATTAGTCGGCGGAAGGACGCCTTTAGATGTGTATGGGTAGATGGCCGTTCATATTTGCTCGGCCGTCCCGTGTGGCGTCCAGGTCCGCCCGCCGGCGGAGGCGCCGCTCTCTCCTCCCTCTGTGTGCCGCTCTCTCCGCTCTGCCCGCCGCCGGACTGTATCGAGTGTCGCCCGAGACGCGCGGGGAAGTTGCACCGCTCGCCGGAGGGAGTCCCCACCGGGCTGCCGCCTCCGCCGAGCGGCTCTACCCGAGACTAATCGGACGGCGCCGCGGGCCATCGACTAATGAAGCGTACTCGAGACTCCGCCTCAGCGATCGGTGGCTATGCAAGAAACTATCAGCTGGCCACCTGTCGAGCGACTTCTGAGACACCTCTGGCGGGAGGTTTTCCGTGAGCTGACGCGTGTCGCTCACTCACGTGGTGCGGTCGGTGTTTGGTTAGTGGAGGTCGGTTTCCCGAATGGAACAGGATCTGTGGCGAAGTACGCCACAGCGCTTTAACGCTGCAGGTTATGACCGGACCCAACATTGTGATATGATGGCTTCGCTGAAATAAAAACAAGCGTACCGTAAAGTGGGGCTATTTGAAACAGATTTTACAGTTTTTGGCCTTTCCCTTCAAAACGGTTGATATTTCCTATAGCATGTAGATTGCAAAAACGTAGTTCTCTGCAACCGCTTTCAGATAGGTCAATTTTGGTTCAGCTATTAACCATAAATAAAGTTATTTTTATACTTGAAGCCTGTCTCAAATAGCCCCATAGTGTGGGGCTATTTGAGACAGTTTTGGTTGCAAGGAAATTGAAGAAAATTGGTCAAGCTAGGGATAATTCTTTTAATGCCATGCGATTGGAAATTAAATTTTGATACTTCTAGCAAAAAGCATTTCTTTCAACTACAGTCGAATAACCCTTATAATCAAACTTTTCGTTTTTCCTTGGACCTAGCATTTCAGTCTGCTAAAAAAAATGCATTACTTTATGCTAGGGCTGTCATAATATGATGTGATCCTAAGCTTTAAAAAGCACAGGATGATTATCTAGGACTATTTCTTAGTCAATGACAGTGAAATTTTCAAATAAAGTTGTTGTGTTTATTTCTGGCGGCGTAAAACACATAGGCCGAAAGTTGGTGGGGCTATTTGAGACAGTCTCGCTACATGCATTAATTAAACGTACCGTAATGCATTAAAAAAGGGAAAGCAGTTTCCAAAATGGTTGAATGAATGATATGCATGATTGATTGTTCCATTGCACATCAACCTGTGAAGAAATAACAGAAAAAGGTCAAACGGTTTTGATTTTATACCGATTTTCCTAGATCACTGCATGTTGTATCGAATGGCCGGTTACCGCACTGCATCAAGTACGTATACTGAAGGCTCACCTAACAGTTAGTATGTATGATAAATAACCTTCAATGGTGCTTATGGTCAACCAGAGTAGACATGGGTCGATTACCGACCACGTCAGTGACTGATGAAACACATTCTATGCACATATTCATAAAGGTAACTAATGCCGTCAGAAACTGGATTGTCGTATTAGGTTACAATGTGTTAATATTGCTTGCTGCTAAAAGTACCATGAACCCATGGCCGATTCACCGGTGTTCCTTAGGTCGAACGTTTGATACACCTTAGGCAGATGGCGGTAAGTCTTTTAAGATGCATCATATCACCTGTGTTTAGGGCCTTGGCATCACAATCATCAGCTGTATTTGGCATGCGTTGAGGTTTGACGAGGTGGGTATCATCGGGATTCTGAGACATCGGGTTACATAATTGTCACTACCGCTAACAATATATAATGTCTTCATGTAAAATGTGCTTAGCCCATAAGTAAAACGATAGTTACGATAGATTCGGTTGCAAAATTTTAAAAACTTCAACCATGTTAAGCTGCAGGTAGGGGTGCTTTTCGTATAACTTGAATTGTGGTTTTTCTGTATTTCTCATTAAATGCCAAATTTCTTTCAAAAAATTTCAATATTTTCAAAAAACCCTATCCATGGAATTCATTGTTAAATTCCACACCAGCCTGAGTAAAAATTGATCAAATATATCAAACGGTTTTAATTTTACAGCAATTTTACTAAGCCACTGCCGCACTGTCTCAAATAGCCCCACTGTCTCAAATAGCCCCACTTTACGGTATATTGTTCGTTGCATGATAAATATAACCCACCAGCTTTGTGTTAAACCTTTGATGTTCGTGATTCTAACCCAGGTCGACGCCTACTCCATTCACCTGAATTATTTGGGCACCGTCGTGCGAATTTGATCTCGCAATTTACCGGCACTGTTTTGCACCAAATTCCATTTCATCTTTGCACCCGTGATGTAAATGCCTGCTTTACTTTCCACACGAGTCCTATTTTCAGTACTATTTTTCCCCTAGTTCCTATTATTTTGGAGAATAATCGCCGGTCTGGCGTATTATTACATAACCCCTTCTCGTGGCGTACCCAAGCGCCGTATGGGTTGGGTCGGCACACGCTGTGCCGCAGCCCACCGGCTCCAACGACCCTTTATCATTTCTCGTGCGCTCGCCTTCGTCGCCCGGTGGGTGGAATAACTTTCCAGAAAGAAAGCCTTCGGGAAATATAGTGGCATATCGGGCGCGGTGCGATGGCCGGAGCGTACGACAGAGGTCCTCCTCGCGATCGGTATTAGTGGCTCCCCGGTCGCTCCGAGGCCGGATAAAGGCTTCCGATACCCACCATCCGCCCAACGCTAAATTTGCAATCACCCCGTTCTGTCGTGTGATTGATGCACTCGCTAGCGCTGCGGCTCCGCCTTTCTTGCGAAAAGCGCATTCCCGTAACCCAGGCAAAGCGCGTCCGTCTCGTTTTGCTGTCAGCGTATGCCATTAGGGGACGCATAAATCCGTTTGGGAGCCCCGCTATAGGAATGTGGTCGCCATATTTCGGCGCAGAGCTGGCATGTTAGGAGATTCACGTGGTTATCGCTGCGACATGAGCTACTCCGGCAGCCATCCATTGTGGCGGAGGGTCGCCGGCGCGGTCCGCAGCTCGCCATTGGACCGCCGCCCGTCCTTTGGGCACATTTTGTTGCCGGCCGCTCAGCTCACTACTTGCTCTGCTCGGCTGGCTGGCGGATGTTTGGTTGTCAGTTTACCATCAGGTTCAGAAACTGCGCTGGTTTGTTTCACTGTTGCAAAGTTTTTGTCAAGTTTGTAAATAATTCATCGAGGTTTGTAGTTTTGTAACTGTTGTTTTTCTGTTTGTTTTGGCGTTTGTCAGCGACAAGCACACCCTGAGAAGGTTTTTGTATTGTCAAGTTTCCTTCCTTGATTAGTTTCCTTGAGATCTCCCTTTTCTTGTTTTTCCCTCGCCTGCCTTCATTTGTCTGGTGCTCGCGAGGTGAGTGCCGTATGTCGTATTTGCCGGTCTCCTAGGTGTCTGGTGCGCCGCGGTATTGCGTTCAGCGTGCTCCCTGGTGACCGGCCCGGGACATCTGGAAAGTGTGATCAGCAGCCCCCGAGCGTAGCTGTTACGCTGGCTTCAGTGAACTCGTGGCAAAAGAGACGGTCCCATCTGACACGTAACGAAATTTGGCAGGTCCCCGTCATTTTTTAGTACATCATCTTTGTAACATCCAGAGCAGCGTCTCGCTAGTTTTTTTGTTGGCGTCCCGGGGATCTGATGCACTTGAAAGTGGCGTGGATCAGCGCAAGGCCGATCAGCTTGTCACCTGAAACACCGCGCACTGCAGTGTCCGATATAATAGGTCCCCGACTCCCACCTATTAATGAGTGGCGGCACCCTTTAACCGGTACAAATCTTTTTTTCGATCATTCCGATTGGCGTTCGTTCGTTCTCTTTCTTCAGACCTTGAATAAGATTAATGTCAGTCCTAAGACAAAACATATAGATGAGGCACGCGGCATGCTGACGCATTCCACGTGCCTCAATCTCTGGTATCGGGCCAGGTCGGCTGGCCGCGTCAAGCGTCACTCCCTGCGACCAGCCGCTGTGACGTGGATGCCTACAAATGCCGTCTGAATGCTGGACGCAATGTCGAGCTGCCATTTTACCGGGAACGTGGTGTGACTCGAAGCCGGTCCAGACTAGTCATTGGCAGGCTGGCATCTCAGGAATAGACGTCAGCCAGATTGCCTCGCCGGGTTATGTACGAATATAGCTGGTGATATACCTGGCTATGGCGTTTTTGGGCGCTACTGGTTACCAGACATGGCAGTGGAATATGACCTCCATGATTGGACATGTCATGAATGAGGCAGGCTGCTATCTGCCAATAAATGCGCAGAATGCCGACGAAGCACCACTGAATATATTATTTGGTGTCTGGGTGTTGATATTGTGACATAAATTAGCTTTGTGCTAAGCAAGGCCTGAAAGCGCGTTTTATGATTCGCTCTTTATGGTTTAGGTATGACTATGCAAGTGATGAAATAAAACTTTATAAATTTATTTTAAAATGAAGATAAAATAGCTTTTGATTCATTAAAGACTTGCTTGTGATGCTTCATTATTGAAGCTATCACTTTTGTTTCATCCTTTCTCACAAAAATATTCATCCATTTTGGTATGCCTATCCTACCGTCTTTGTAGCACTACACTCGGCCCGACTCCCCCTACGGGGAATCACCGTGCAAGGGGCGGGAGTGGCAATAGAGGCTGACAGCTTTCAGATATCGTTGTCGGTACCCAGAGTCAATGTAGGTGATGACGTCAGTATCGGTGGCCATGCCACGGTGATGTCAGCGAGTATCGGTGTCGATATAGAGTAGATGTCAGTAGTGATGTCTGTGTCGGTATTGATATTGATGCCTGTGTACTGTATATACAGCTCGTATGGATATCGATGTTATCGGTATCTATGTCTGATGTCTGTCGTTGCCGATGTCTGGTGTCTATCAGTGTCGATGTCGACGTGTGTCTGCGTCTTTCGGTTTCTGCGTCCGTACCTGTGAACTGGCGTCCCTCCTTTACCATCCATTCTCCGTGACCGGGCCGTGGTGCCGGAGTTCCGGACTGCGTGGAAAGTATTCCGGACTCTGCGGAAGGCGCATGGAGGTCGTGCCGCCGACGAGGTGCTGTATTCAGGACACTCCAAGACACCGTCCATGGGGTGGGTGACAGAACGGGGGCAGAGTAACCCTCTGAGAGCAGATCCGTGTTGTGGGAGCTCTGGGACCGGTGGTGACTACCGTGTCCCAGTTACAACACTTCCGCTATGGGTCGCTGGTCAACAGGTGCAGGAAGATACCGTGCTCCTTTCTGTCCATTAATCCTAGATCAAAGACGGCTAATGGCTTAGGTTTGCGTAATCCTGTTTGTTGGCGAAACTCGATTTACATTATTTATCTGTCTTCGGTAATGCATTCTTAGAGGATGGACAACGAAGAAGCTGCGTCTTTCTAAATGAAACATTCTGCTTGCTTTGTTACTGTTGTGTCTGACCTATTTGGTTGCGACTCATTTCTTTGTTATTTTTCATGTGTCGTCACTTATTAGTTGACTCTGTTGTGCGGCTGATAATTTATCGCCCGTGACACCTGCACTCACCGTGTCGCCTCTGTGTTTCCAGAGCAAGTCAAAGAAGAAGAAGAAGGCTAGTTCCGACTCGGACTCTGACGCCTCGGCTGGCTACGTGCCGCTGGCCCAGCGGGCGGCCGGCCGCGCGCGGAAAGTCACCAGCTATAAGGTGGATGAATCGAGCGACGACGATTGAGCGCCGTGACCTGAGACGTGACGACGTAACGCTGGAAGCGTGACGCCGCAGTGAGGGACCGAAATGTCGCTGAGGTGATCGGCAGTTGCGCCCGCCGACCGCGCGCTGACCCGAGACTCGCCCCGCGGCGAACCAGCCGTGGTGTACAAATGGTGTCCGACCGGCGCGGCGCGGCGGTGGTGTCGTGTAGGTTCTTCCCGTCTTGGCCGCTGCGGAAGGGTCGGCGGCGCTGTTGGCGTCAAATGGACCGTAGCGGCCGTCAGTGCGGCGATGACGCCCGGAGAGTAGCTGTGTTTAGAGCTGACAGGGACGGACGGTGTTCAGGCCGGCGCGCTGTAGCCGGCGGCCTTACGTGTTGCGTTTCATGTTTCATGTCTCCTTCTGTGGCCTGTGCTGTGAGCTGCGGTGCCGCTGAGGCGCACCACTCGGCTCATCATCCGCGCTCCTTAGCGCGGCTTTCATTCAGACCCATCATCGGATCACCGGTCTTTTTAGCTAGTGCAGGTACGCCGCTGCGACAGTTCGCATCGCATATTCACCGTTTTCACAGAATACATCTCTTAGAAGCACTGTCGAGCGTGTGTGTGATTGGAAAGGGCAGACGTGCAGTCATTGGTTGCCTTCTTGAGATGTTTACTCAACCGAAAGAGCCGCTCATTGAATTACTCGGGATATGCTTTGGGACAAATTTCTATAGAACTTTACTTTGTCAATAGCATATAATGGTTGAAACACCGTAGTGCGGGGGCTTTCCTGGGTTTATGTATATCGTCCCTAACCGTCTTCTCAGTCCCTAGTGGGGTATCGGTCGCTCCTCAGGCTCTCGCGCTGCCTTTTGTGCTGGTCGGTCTCCCGTGGTAGCTCCTAACCCGTTGACGGCCGAGCGATGGGCGGGCACGACCGGAGCATGGGCCCGCTCAGTTATTCACGGGCCAAGGCACGGACGCGGCGGTCGCCTGCCGCCTGCTGTCTGTCGTTCGCCTCTGTCCGTAGGACTTCGTGGACGGGGGAATGGAACAGTGGGTAGTAGTGGTGAATGAAGAGCTATGGGACAGCGTGTAGAAGTGGTGAGTGATGAGCATCGGCATGGAAGTGCAGATTCGCAATCTAGGAATGAACGCGGAACAATTAGGCGCCCGACATAAGCGAGTGACCCACAGCGCTCTGTCTAAACTCGATGTCAAAGAGAATATTGTGCTTCCTTCAGCTTCAAACAGCTTCATCTCACAGCGTCGTGACAGCTTTCCGTCAGAGATCGGGCGTTGGCCTGTCCCCGCGTGATGTTTTGAGCTCGGACGAGGGGCGGCCTTTGTCTGGGTCGTACACAGGTGCATCCCCGATCAGTGGTCATGGGTCAGTTGGTCTCGCGGGATGGCGTTCCTCAGTCTAGTCAATAGTCCTCAGCACTGCGATGGCTCTTGGTGATAGCCCACTACACCTACTTACTTTCTTATCAATGCCAATAGTTACCGTCAAGGGTGGCTGATCCTACACATGTCGAATGTTCATGGTAAATGCAAATTATCTAATAAATGTATGTTGTTTATTGAACCCTGGGTTACCGTAGGCACACTGCCCTCCCGCCAACATACAAAACAGCGCCGGCTGCGCGGCCGTCGGGTTCTAGGTAGGTAGGCTGTCCCGCATAGCAGCTGTGCACTGCGGCACAGTATGTCAGCCAGAGTCCACCGAGGTCCGAGAGGCCAGTCGTCTTCTCGCCTCATCTTGAATTGAGACGGAGCCGTGCCTAGCGACGAGAGACAGTTAGCCACGCCGTCACAGCAGCAGTCCCGACTTGAAAGCTGAATAACTGCTTGAAGAAGGGAGACCTGAAGGTTCAGTTCGGGGACAAAATTTTTGTTTATGAGATATGTTTGATGTAGGCACATAGGCGGCGGAACGGGGAGGGCACCGTGCCCCCTTTGATTTTGGCATTTTAACATAAGCCCTATGGGCGTTGCATGGAAAGAATGGGACCAAAAGTCGGCAGTGCCCCCCCCCCCCTTAATTGAAGGTGTTCCGCCGCTACTGTGTAGGCAAAGTAAAATAAATTACTGATAGCAATATGTTTCAGCTGCTAACGTCGCCTAACGTCTCAGTCACTACAAGGGGGGATCCAGGGTCAGCTGAAAGGGGGGGGGGCCAAATGCCCATTAGGTTTTTCGCTAGGATAGGGCCCGCGGAACCTAACCTACCCCCAAATCCTATTTTCTCCCCGGATTTCGGCCACTTTATTTTGTAAAGCTGCCAAAAATAAATTTCTTTAAAAAAAATAATAATCACGTATCACTGACCAATGACCATCAAGGCCGGGGGGGGGGGGGAGGACCAACCTGGCTGCGCCCGTGCAAACACCAATCTGTACATCAACCTATGCTCTGCCCAACCGAACATCAAGTAGCGCCTTTTTAACCCACGCCGAGGCTGGGGAGGTGTTCGGACACCCCATTGCGGTCTTTTGCGGATATCTAAAAAACGGCGGCCGTATTTGGCACACCTGTCAATGCATCTTTTCCACACATGTCATGAACATTTCAGACCCAGGTCGCTAAAGGTCCAGTCACTACGTCACTTCAAGAAACCTCACCTCAGAAAAACTTGAATGTTCGTCATAGCTACACCGACTGAATGATTGCCTTGAAACTTTCAGCGGCTGGTACGAGTAGCAGTATGTACCTACCTATACATACTACCTATACCTACCATCAAGGCCGGCGGGGGGGAGGGAGGACCAACCTGGCTGCGCCCGTGCAAACACCAATCTGTACATCAACCTATGCTCTGCCCAACCGAACATCAAGTAGCGCCTTTTTAACCCACGCCGAGGCTGGGGAGGTGTTCGGACACCCCATTGCGGTCTTTTGCGGATATCTAAAAAACGGCGGCCGTATTTGGCACACCTGTCAATGCATCTTTTCCACACATGTCATGAACATTTCAGACCCAGGTCGCTAAAGGTCCAGTCACTACGTCACTTCAAGAAACCTCACCTCAGAAAAACTTGAATGTTCGTCATAGCTACACCGACTGAATGATTGCCTTGAAACTTTCAGCGGCTGGTACGAGTAGCAGTATGTACCTACCTATAAAATGTTTATCTCGGAGTTTTGATATCGGTGACTTACGGTCAGGTCAATTTTGCGCCCTCTCCTTTTTGAGTAAATAGGAGAAAATGGAAAGGCGGCTCTTTTGGGCGAACGTCATTCCAAACACTCAAACATCGGGTTACAGTTAAAATAGACAGCTAAATCGAAAAATTGCAACCATGACCCCTCCATTTCCCTGGGGTCATCCTAGGTCATCAAAGGCCCCCCACAGTTTTTGACACTATAACTTTTTATGGAGACATGCTAGAGGAATGAAAACACATTCGATGTGTTCAGGTCGACAATACGGATCTACTGATATGCAAAACAGGGGCGGTTCTCCCATATAGGCAAGGTAGGCAGTGCCTACGTCAATTGCCGTCTCCCCTGCGTCTAAATCATCACTATATCGTGGCTTTTGTTTGCTTGATTGCTTTTGTTAAAAATCTTTTGTTTCTCGTTTTTTTTTCAAAATGCGTTGAAACGAAAGAGAATTTCCTAAACTTTTCAAAAAACGCCACATAAAGACCGTACTATAAGAACCTTGACGAAAACCTTTGCCTAAGTTGTGCCTACCTCGTCCTACTAGATTATCGACTATTGCCATGCTGAGGCTATTGAGCCTTTTGGTAGAAAAGGTCTAGATGGTCGGCACATCGACTAGGTGCTACCTTCTAACTCTCAAACCTAACTTTTTAATATGTCCATTTATCGTAAAAAGGACAATTTACTTTATCAATTTTTATCATAAGTTCAGCGTACGTAGCGTTGTTATGCTTGTTGCGTTATTCTAATGTTACTTAAAAATTATATTGAACGAACTAGACTCCTACTGAGAGACTAGTTTGCCTCTGGCGGCAGACGTGTAAGCTCTAGTTAAGTTGATGGTTTTTGTAGATGACGCTGCTGTCGCTGCTTGACGCATCCCGACTAAGCAATAAGGCTGTCTCCCCCCCCCCCCCTCCCCCTTTTACCTATTCCGTATTCAGCTTTTCTGCCTTACCTACCAAGTGCCTACCTACTTTCAATAGGTCAGCGCCGCCCCTGATGCAAAATGACCTTTTCCGATCAGGTCACTACCTTGACCCAAGGTCAAATTTTCAAAATACCTTTTTTAAGTCCAAATTATAGTTCATTCGAGCCATCTCGACGAGAGATCTCGACGTTTCTTGAGTCAAAAGTGATAAAAAAACATTGTTCGTAAAAGCAGCTATGTTCAATGTTTGCCTCTGGCGGCTAAACCGTTGACCTGAGGTCAAATCTGAGCACTGTCTTTAGAAAAAGTGTTGAAAGGGCTATCGAATGCGTTTCTCTGCGGCGCTGCAGCAGCTCTATTGGTTCTTGAGTTATGCGCCGGAGTTTCGAAATGTGTTGACATACATAGGCAAGATTTTTCTTTTGATGTTCTCTGGTGACCAGACCTTTGACCAGACTTTAAAAAAATGACTGCTTTCGTCTTGATTTTCGAAGGTCTTTCGAATGCCGCTAGTGCCGCGTGTCGCTACGTGGCCCAGGAGCCGAGTTAGAAGGAGAGGGGGTGTTCAGACACCCACCGGCCCGGAGCGGTTGGCACCGAGGACCGGCCTGGAGCGGGTTAAGGAGAGAGGTTAATGCGTGACTATTTCCGCTGGATAAAAGCCGATTGAAGGGAAACTGCAAGGTGGTTTTATGCAGGGTCCGGCAAAAGTTTTGTCCTCTACCTAGGGCAACACTTATCCGGTTTCTAATCGTTTCTACCCCTAAGGGATAAAGATTTTGGAAAAAGATTTTGGGAAAGATTGCACGGTCCAATAACCTCCAGCAGCTCAGTTCTGAGTCGACGCATGGCCTCGACGGTCGATGGAAGGTCAACATGCAATTTCATGGAGGACGGCGCGCCAGCTCATTGCTCTACCAAAGTCCAGGTGGTTGTGTCAATCGAGCCTGCCGGAGTTCTGAAGAGATAATCGGCTACCATCCGGACCCTAATCCTGAGCAAGGATCTTTGGGCTACCTTCCAGCAGGACATAGACAAATGGAATTCGGCGGCCAACCTCGGCGCCCTGCAGTTACAGCCAAACGGACATAGTCGAAAATCAAGCTGTCTGTGCAGTGTGCTGCATAAGCTGGTTGCCAGCACGCCAAAAAAAAAATGTTCGTGTGTAAATCCCTGTTCATATTAATAACAAAAAAGTTAATGTTCGGCCTAGCGTCGATGAAAATGGTGAAAATAATTATGAAAAATTAGCCGGCTGTGAGAAACAGCACGGATGAAAGGGGGCCAAAAGATATGTTGACCCCCTTTCAGAGCCAAAGGGGGGCCATGGCCCCTTTGCCCCCCCCCCCCTGGATCCGCCCTTGAGTCACTAGGTGTCGGCCGAAAGCAGTCATATCCAAATAGGCTGATCGGTGCCGAGGCGTTCTATCAGGGCAAATCGCCCGTCACATTTCCGCTCACGGTGGCTGTGCAGCCCGTCTAGGCAGCACAGGCCAATGGTCGCAATATAGG